CTTCAATGAGACAGTTTCACAGATCTTGCAGTCCAAAGTCTCTACCGAAATCAATGGCTTTTTTGCCTGAATGAGAACAGGATTGAGGTTATGAATAAAATGTGAAAGTTAAACATAAAAATGAAATATCCAGTTTGAAAAGCAGCTCAATCACAGAATATATTGATTAGGATTTGAGGCAAGCTTACAGCAACCCCATTTGATGCAAATGATTTTTTTTTTTTGACTAACTGAATAGTTTTACAACATGAATAGAAATAAGTAACTGTTCTGGACTATGAAATCGGAGATCAGTGCTTTAATAAGAAAATCATATTAATTTAAAATTAGAAAGAAATATTTCACACTGCATTTTTAACTCAATAGCAAGTGTATAATCTTCATAAATGTTTACAGAAGTTTAGGGTGCTTTCATTTTCTTCTTTCTCTACAATTCACTTTCTCTACAATGCAATTACCACACAACCAAAATAAAACAAAAATAGGTGGTAAACAGTTTAACTTTGAACTTACAACATTTGGAATGATTTGTGTAAATGATGACTGGTAAAACAACTCTAAAATTTCCAGGAACTTTTTCTCTAAGTTTTATCATTTATTTTAAATAAATAAAACCATTTTGAATGTTATTTTAATTGCATTACCAGTACTGCCCCTGTGTAGAAGTTATCATTTCATTGAATCAACTAAATGACTGCTTTATCAATGTAAACTGAAATATTTAGGGCATGCTGCAGGTAAAGGTGAATGTTTTTACAGCACACACTCTCCTAAAATAGACTATTTATCATTCTTTGAAAAAGGGGACATAAAAAAACAATACTATGTGTGTGGCCTACATTACCTTCACTTAATGCACTAAATACAAGTTTTTAGAAAATTGTGCAGTTTCTGCACCATTGATAATCTGACAGTAAGTATTTATTGAAGGTAAAACACTCATTGTCTGTTGACACTATTTGTTTTAATATATAATCTTGCTAACCAAATGATCTTTAAGCAATGCAGATAAGCAAAGGCATGCAAAGGGTCACTTAAATGCCAATTTGACTGTTTCATAAACTTAAGCATTCTTTTCCCATGACTATTCTCAGCTACTTAATTGAAAGTATTATCCATTTACAAACTTAAGGCCTGCCATAAAAAGGCTCTCTTCTGTATCCAATAGACCTTTCAGGACCCTAAGAACAACAAAATCTAATCAATAAAGCTTCTCTTTTCTTTTCCTCTTTTCTTATAGGGAAGTGAAGAACTAACCTATAGTACATCTAAACAAAGCTATCTGTAAAGATCTTATTATCAGGGAAGACCGTAAAACTGAAGAGTCTGACTTGACGTGGGATGGACAGGATCAGTTAAATCAGGACATGGTCTGTACTACTTTTGTAATCTGCACTCCTACTACAGAATGACAGATACAACCTATGACAAGAGCAAGGTAATAAGCAGTTGTCCTTAAATTATAGCTCTACATGTAAAATCTCCTGAATTTCTGACAAGCACTGACTGTAATACAAATTCAAGTTAATGAATTTTTAATACATCTTCTCTATTTAAAGATGATGACTTACAGCTGGCATTGCTTATATTAAATTTGTGGTATTTTCCATTGTTTGTTTTTAATTATTTTGATTAGATTATGCTTGGAATTGTATGGACAAATTCAACCTCACATAAGCAACTTCAGATTCTGATGCAGTCAAGAGCAGTTTCATCTGCATATAACAGGACTGAATAGGCCCTTTGTATTTTAAAAACCATACAGAACTATTTCAAGGAGATAAACAGAAAATTAAAGCTAGAGGTACCAAATAAACCTGATAATTTAGATTTGGAATTGTAAGTGTTCAGGTCCAGATTTGGGGGGAAGGCATTATTTCTTCTCCAAACTTGGCTATCATGCTATGCACCAATAACTTAAAATATTTTCAGTAATTTTCTGATAATAATGAAATAAGATTCAAAAATTGCTTGACATTTGAAGCCTGAGGAGCCAAAGATTGTTGCAAGTCGTGTTCTTCTTGTAGCTCTTTCTGAGCTTCATCTAGTTTACTTTTTTATAGTGCTTTTCCTTCTACCTGTAGCACATCCCAAGATGGAGCCTAAAATGTTTATGAACAACAGATAAACACAGTATTAAAAACTGCTAAGATACTTGAATATTTTCACACCCTCTCTGGAGAAGTACAAGGAGCCAACAGCACATAAACAGCTCTATCAGAACAACACAATTCAATTAAACTACAGCAGTTTAGACTTGCTGTCACTACACATATCACAACAGTGCCTACAGCTATTGAGTATAAGGAATAAGCAGAAAATGGTAATAAAACAGAATTTCCAATGCGCCCTACGTAAATTGTTTCTCTGATTAGTGTATAAGATTAACATATTTCAATCAATTACAAAGATATAATCAAACATGGGTCAAAATCATAATGATAGGATGTAGAACTAATAAACTTAGAAGAGCATGAACACATCTATGATTTGTATTGTGTTTTTAAGCAAATTCAAACATACACATAGTTTAAAAGACAATTTTTTAGGAAAGTTTCTTCAAGGTTATGTTTATTAAATACAGGAGCTTCAGCGGGAGTACAGATGTAAGGAATTCCTACTGTTTCCACCCACAGCTGCTCATTCCTATTTATTAGTTGCGCTTAGTTGCTCCAAAAATTGTTTTTTTCACACTGTGAAATAAATCAAATAACTGATCCATGTTGAAAAAATCATACAAAAAAAAAAAAAAAGATGTGGAGATGTCCTAGTCACAGAGGCCAGGACCAATTTATTACTATGTGGGTATAACTAAAACTGTGTATTCTACATGCTCTATGTCATTTCTGAAGGACTATTAATAATGGATCATTTGCAGCAGCTGCCCAGAGCACACTTGATACCTCAGGCTACAAGGTGGATGTTAAAGAAACCCTGTGAGGCAGGGGAGTATTTCAGTCTTCACACCAATGGCTCAGCTGTGATAACTTCCCTCTGGGAAGTTTTAGCACCTTCACACCCAGCCTGAGGGGTCGTCTTTGCTAATGGGGCATAACGGACTGGCATAATAGGCAGCTGCAACCACCTAGACCATCAAAGACTCCAAAAATATCCCATGACTCACAGAGTTAAATCACCCATTATGAAATTCCTTGCTCTGGGGTAGGTACTGGACATTCCCACTTGAACCAGAGCACATATAATCTTGGGGGTTTGGGATTTCTGGTACCACTTGGATCCAGAGGACAACCAGAACTTTAAGAAGACTGCAATAGTCACTCTTGACAAGACTGGGGTCATCACTTCAACAGAACTGCGACCATCATCCAGACCAACAGGTTTCTTTTCATTTTATTTTGCCTCCAAGGGGGCCACGAGATGGTCAGCACAGGGGTGGATGAACACCACTGTGTCCTTGTCCCAGGGTGTGGGTTAAAACCAGTTTTCCCTGTACCATTGCATTTATTGTAATTTTTTTTTAATAAATTGTAACTGACTTGTAATCTCTTGAGTTGGGTTCATTTTGTTTGCCAGTTTACTTTAAAACCAGCACAGGAGGGAAGACAGACATTAATCCAAGATCCATGATTCTCTTTGTAGAGTACCCTCACATAGAATTTTCACCTGAGACAGCTCAGTATAATCCAGTAGCAAGAGCAAGCAGCAAGGAAAAGGAATACTGAAGTCATCGTTGCTGCCAAAATGTCTACATCTCTTTCACAAAACTGAGCTTCAGAATCTATACCCTAGTACTGCTTTTTCCATATTGTGATGACTTCCAGAGGTCTGTTCCAACCTTAACCATTCCACAGTTCTCTTTCCTGCAAACTGTTAAACATTTTTAAAACAGACTAGCAGTGCCATCAATAGAAAGAATTCTTCTGAACTCCACTTAAAAGCCTGTGTATGTAACGTAACAAATCAGGTTCAAGAAAATAAACAAGTATAATCATAGAGTAACAAAGACAGGCAACACCAGAACAACACAGTGCGGTAAATTAAGTTTAAAGTGTTTTGTCTTGAAAAAAAAGTCTATCTTCAATATGAAAATTACGTCCACATTTGGGCCCAGGTCTTCCTGTTACACAAGGGTAATTAATTCTGCAAGTCTGGTAAGGCTGGCTACCTTAGTTTATAGAAACCCAAAGAACACAATTATTGTGAGCAAATGCCTTTCTAATTTAGTTTTCAGTCCCATATCTTGTTAAATGAATTATAAATATAAAGAATTTTACTCTTCTTTAGTCCATTCACAAGCTTTATTTATCCCAGAACATAACTGGGCACAGTGTTTATGTTTATTGATAACTTCAGCCAGTATTTAACTTTTTAGAAGAAATCATTTCAGGAAAAAAATGAGGTGAGTTTTTAGCTCATAAACAAGTGCATAAACCACCAAGTAAAAGATAACTGAGAACTATAGAAGATACCTAAATGAGTCAATGCCTTCTGAAAAGGCTTATTCAAAATTAAAATTGTTTCATATGTTGTTAGTTTATTTTTGAAACCAACAACACTGTATATATCAGCACATACATGAAAAAATATGAAGGTGCAAAGTCAGATATTTGATCTTTACCAGAAAAACAGAAAGCTGATCAAAATTTTACACTGAGAAAATAATCTAACAAAGTTAAAGAATACAGGAAAGCTTGAAAGCTTCTCTACCTGAAAATCTATCAATAAAAAGAAGCAAATATAAGACTATGATTTTTGCTTTTTTAATGTTAGGTTAATGTTTCTGTCATGATCTCTTGTCAAATTTAAAGGAAAAAAGTAGCCTGACTAGATGCATTGCCATTTCCAGCTTTTGGAATGCCCAGATACTCAAATAAATTAAAAATTAAAAAAAAATAAAAACAAAAAAATAAAAAACCTATGAATGATATCCAAAGAAAGAGAGGATATTCAGCAACATTTGTTGGCTAACTGAAACCTCCAAAACTCAAATTACAGGAGCTGCTATTTTAAAATCATAAGTCAAAGTTCTGTGATCTCACCTGTTTGGGGAAACAGATCAAGGAAGGGGACTTCAACATGCTCTTGCAAATGAATAATGAAGGCTATATAAGCAGACAGGAACTCTTTTAAACCTAAAATCAGAGAACATTACACAACACACTTACTATTAGATGGACATCATAAATTTATATAATCTCAGATACTATTTAATTTTCTTTGTAGAAACACCATGAACCAACATACAACTTTTTTTATCAAAATATTTATATAATTCAGTTACAGATGTAACATAAAATTACAGTAACTAAAGCAAATGTCTGCATTTTTTCATCTGACTGCTTTGTGTATAACCAAATTTGCAAGGTCATCTACGCAATAAATCTGTTTATCTAGAAACTTCATGGGCTCTGGCGCCCACTAAGCAAAGCAAAATTATTTAAAAATAAAATGTCACAAAAACATACCAATGAATAGTGTTCTATAGAAATACTAATATATAGTATATTGCCATTACTCTGTATAAAAATAGTTCTGCTAAGGATGCACTAGAGCATTTAGCTAGTACATACGAGTTCTTAAACCCATTTCTCTTTCTTTTTCTAGAAATTTATTTTCATTATTTTTCCATGTGTAAAAGTGAAAGAATCCACATTCAAATAGAATAATATATTTCAATTATGTAGTACTTGTGTTAAATACAAGCAAATGTATGTTATTTTTTCAAGTGCCAATCTTGCAAACTACTTTTTCTCATGAGATCACTGAACACACACTGATGAACGTAGTTGCAACAATACCACCAATGCATTACAGAAGTGCCATGTTACCCAAAATATTTAATACTGTCTAAAGAATATCATCACAGTGCCTCAGTACTGTTAAATAACTGCAAAACTGTTCTGTTGGCAAATAACAGTATATAATTCAGAAGCAAAAAAATAATCTTACTACATTCTTTAATATTATAAATATTACCATCAGTGACATTGTATTGTGTATTTTTTATACATCATTTAGCATATTTAGTTTAGCAACTAACAGATCAACTGATGTTGCAGAGTATACTCTTAAAACCACCTAAAATGTCATTATTAATGCCTTCCCTGACTCAGCCTTTTACAGTAAGACCAGCTCTTCTCTAGGTACACAGCCCCCTGAGCTGGAAGACAGGGACTGGGAGCAGAACAAAGCCCTATAATTCAACAGGAGATCAGTGATCTACTACACTACTTAGACACTCACAAGTGTCTCTGGCCAGATGGAGTCCATCCAAAAGTACTGAGGGAGCTGTCAGAAGTGCTCACCAGGCCATTCGCAATCATTTACCAGCAGTCCTGGCTAACCAGCTAGGTCCCAATTGACTAGAAGTTAGTAAATGTGATGCTCATCTACAAGAAAGGACTGATGAATGATTCAGGGAATGAGAGGTCTGTCAGCCTGACCTCAGTGCTCAGAAAGGTCATGAAGAAAATCATCTAAAGTACCATCACATGGCATGTACAGGACAACCAGGGGGTCAGGTGCAGTCAGCACAGGTTTATGAAAGGTAGGTCCTGTTTGACTAACCTAATCTCCTGTGACAAGATGACCTGTTTGGTGGATGAGGTAAAGGCTCTGGATGCTGTGTGTGTACCTGGACTTTTGTCAAGTTTTTCACACCATTTCCCACAGCATTCTTCTGGAGAAACCAGCTGCTCATGGCTTGCACAGATGCACTGTTCACTGGGTAAAAACTAGATGGATGGCTGAGCTCAGAGAGTGGTGGTGAATGGAGATAAATCCAGCTGGTGGCTCATCACCAGTGCTGTTCCTAAAGGCTCAATATTGAGGCCAGTCCTGTTAAGTATCTTTATTGATGATCTGGATGAGAGGATCAAGAGTACCCTCAGCAAGTTCACAGACAATACCAAGTTGGGCAGGAGTGGTCTACATGAGGATTGGAAGGTTCTACGGAAGGATCTGGACAGGCTGGAACAATAGGTCAAGGCAAGTTGAATGAGGTACAATAAGCCTAAGTGCTGGATCCTGCACTTGGGTCAGGCCAGCCCCAGACAATGCTTCAGGTTTGGGGAAGAGCGACTGGAAAAGCTGCTTGGCATCCTGGCTTGTATCAGAAATACTGTGAACAGCAGGACTAAGGCGGTGATTGTCCCCCCGTATTCGGCACTGTTGAGGCCTCACCTCAAATACTGTGTTTAGTTTTGGGCCCCTCACTACAAGAAAGACACTGAGGTGCTGAAGTGTGTCCAGAGAAGGGCAACAGAGCTGGTGAAGGTTCTGGAGCACAAGTCTTATGAGAAGTGGCTGAGGGAGCTGGGGTTGATTAGTCTAGGTGGGGATATGGGACCTGAAAAGAGACCTTATCACTCTCTAAAACTACCTAAAATGAGGTTGCAGAGAGGTGGGGATGAGTCTTCTCCCAGGTAACAAGCAACAGGACAAAAGGAAGTGGTCTGAAGTTGCATCAGAGGAGGTTCAGATTGGATATTAGGAAAAATTTCTTCACAGACAGGGTTGTCAAATACTGGAATGGGCTGCCCAGGGAGAGTGTGAAGTCACCATACCTGATAGAGTTTAAAAGACCTGCAGATGTGGTGCTCAGACACATGGCTTAGCGGAGAACTTGGCAGTGTTAGGTTAATGGTTGAACGTGATAGTTGTAGAGTTTTTTTTAAACCTGAATGATTTCATGATTGATATTAATTATTTAAAATATTATAAGCATGTAATACAGATGGCAAATGAGAATTCAGTTACTGAAGTATTGGAAACATTTCTGACCTTTAAACAGACAAATATTGTAAGGGCAATTTCAAAATGCAGTATTTCCATTCATTTTTTCAACTGAAACACTGCAACCCATTTAACAGATATCATTTTACTACCACAAAAGTTGCTAGGAAATATTAATCCTTGACTGTAGAAGAATGCCTGCTAACTGGAACTGTTCAGGCCTGCATCACCAGGCCATGTAGGGCTCTACTTCATGACCACGGTAGCCCCAATGTAGAATGCAGTGCCAGGACTGATGGGGAATTTCTGTCAGCCCCCTTGTGACTCACTCCCAGAGCTCCCCTTGTGCCTTAGCTCTTCAGAGTAAGCTGTGTGCACCTCTGCTTCTTGGCTGTCCAAAAACTGATCAGGAAAATTGGTTGCTAATGCCCTGGGATTCTATGCACGTACCTACATCTCTCTATCCGTTTCTCCACACAGCTTGGAGACTCAGTCAGGGCTGAACTACAATCAGCAGGAGGAGCTAAAGAAGCAGCTGAAGCAAGGCCTTTAGACATTCAGAAAGTTTCTCATTTTGACTAGACCTCTGCTTTATAATGATTAGACCTTGAAACAACACTCTTAAACAACTGATCCATCAAAAAGGATTCCATATGTGTCTCTCTCATCCCCTTTTCATATTGATCTTTTATCTCTCATCTCTTTCATTTCAGCACTTGTATCTCTCTTCCCATGTAGCGTATCCAACCTTACGTTCATCGCTTTAATTTAAGCTTAGGCCAAGTCTATCTGGTACCTCTGCACATAACTCTGCCTAGCGGAAATGTATCCCATTCTTGGTTGTCCTTCTCATTATATCATTGTGAACATTATAAATAGTGTTATTCTGTTTCACAACAAGCACATATAATAATTTTAGGGCAAAGTAATAACTAACATCAAAGTTGCAGAAAGAATCATGTTAGGGGTTTATTTAGTATCTAGTTATAGCTTTGAAATATCGGAACACTAGGTACTGACAACATAAAAGAAAAGACATTATTCGATCTTGGCAACAAATTTGTCCTCTGTGGTACTGTCTCTATAAACTGTGTTCTCTACTAAAAAAAAAAGAAAAAAAAAATCTAAGCTTTATAGAATTGATATTCTAATTACAGTTTTTGTCATGTGAAATATCACAAAACTAAAAGGATATTGAGCATTAAACCATTTTCCAGGAAGACATCCACTTGTTAAATGTAGATTAGGATTCTATTTATACATTGTTTCATTTATAATCTTCTTTCCAATCTCATAAAGAAAAGCCTAACCCAACAAATGACCGAATGAACCTGAATTTGTTTTTTCCTCTAATGTTAAGCTGCAAGACCAGTATGAAGACCTGTTTTATAGAAAACCTTCTTTTAAAGGGTAGGTGGTAAGGAAACAGCTTGCAGACCTCTGCATGCTATAAAGCATCAAAACCTTAACCATGGAAAAACTATCTCATGACAGTAGTAAATTTAGTTCACCTGCTTATTATATTTAACAGCTCATCTTTAGGCCAAGATTTATTTTCTGCTGCTTGAGATTCTTTCTGAATTTCTGAGAGAAAGGGAAAAATGTAAAAGATGAATGCGAAAATTTTTTTACAACATTTTTGTCCTCCCTTCGGATAATTCAGTACAATATTTATCATATGTGGTTATTCTGGTTATTCTTTCAACATCAATGAAACACCTAGAATATTTTATCAATTTTATCCTAAGCCAACTTATTTTCTCAATAGCTAATTAGATTTCCAAAAATAAACATAGTAATAGGAAAAAGACCTACAGTGATTAACATTTATGGAAATATCTTATCGAAGGTCTGGTCTGTTTCTTCTACAGATCACACTGGTAAGAAAAAACTGCAAATTATGAGAAATTTATATCAATGGGTCTATGATCCTTTAAAACAAATAAATCAGTAATGCCTCTAAACATTAATCAATTCCCCAAACATATCTAAGTTCAAATATTTGAATTTTCAAAACCATTTAAATGAAAGGCATTGAATTATGGGCACTAGTATATATGAATATAGACAGATGTCTTATAATTTCACTTCCCTAATCAGCATGTTACTTAATAAAAGCAAAAGTCTTTGTAGTCAGCAGCTGGGAAATCAAATCTCATATGAAAAAGAAAAAACGAGACGAAAATAAGAAAGAGAGAAAAATAAAGGTATACTTGTTATTTATGAATTACCAAAATGTTTTCGAGGACTGTTTAATTTCCTTTCCTATTTTATCAGTTTAAAATATGAACTACCTATCTTAACAACTCTGCTAGCAAACAGAAGCATTATTAATTTATTATATTTTAACATTCCTAGGTGATTCAGAATATTACCAAGCTTGGTTGGTGAAAACTTG